GGTTGACTCAGCCTTCCATCCTTCCGAGGTGGGTAAAATAAGGACCCGGATTGTTGTTGGGGGCAATATGCTGACTCTGTAAACCGCTTAGAGAGGGCTGAAAGCCCTATGAAGCGGTATATAAGTCTACTGCTATTGCTATTGCTATTATATGCCGCCCTTCTCCCAAAGGACTCAGGGCGGTGTACAACATTAAAAGAAACACATATTACAAAAGTTAAAAAGGAAATTAAATAAAGTTTCCAAAAACAAACCCAATTAATATTAACAATACAATTTTATATAACCATTTGTCTGAAATGGTATAGGGTTTCCTGCCTAGGCAGGGGGTTGGACTAGAAGACCTCCAAGGTTCCTTCCAACTCTTGTTAATCTATTCTATTCCTGTATTTTTTTCCCTGTAAAATGTGCGTCAATGCTTATTTATTTTTTTAATGCGATGACAATCTGGGTTGAGGGTTCTCACTGAAAAAAACTTAGATTTGGCTGAAATAATCTTCCATTTCCCCCCCCCCCCCAATAAGAAATCAAGAAGCAAGACTTCTGTACCTAGAGTTTCTGCTGTGTCTAGGAAGTTCTGTGGGAACTTTTTATTCTGTAAACAGCTAATTATAGTTCTCAGCATTTAGACTTCCTTTGTTTGATATATGTGTTCATTAGGTACAAATTAACAATCCTAGGAGATTTTGAAATTTCGGATGAGAAGAACCGTTTAGGGTTTTTTTTCCTTCGAGAGGAAAAAAAAAGCACATTTAGTCGGTGCCAAGGATGACTAATTGTACGTAACCTTGTACGTTTGCAACATTCACGTAGATAATATTCGAAGGGAAGAATTCCTGAAGTTTATTGCATTCGTTCCTTACTGCGTGCTATCATTTCCTAGCCATTTCCTACGGCTTCTCTGTGAAAACTGGACATTCATTTGGTTTGTGTTCATTAGGCAAGTTCCAATGGCTTTCTAGATATGCTAATTATGCCTTCTGTCTTGGGGGGGGGGGAGGGGAAAGGCTATTTATCAGTCCTGCAGCATTCCAGTGTCACTACTGTTCACAATTGTTCCAGTGGCATTTTGACCCGCTAACGTAAATTTTCCTTTTGTCCTCGGATGTCAGCACCAGACCATTCAGATAGGAAAAAACAGTCACAGACACTTCCTTTGTCAAAGGAAAGTAATTTTAAAAAAAAATCCCTGCTGAATCACAGAACAGACCAGTTTTTAAAAGTGAAAAATCAGAGCAATGGTGAATTTGTTTTTTGAAAACTTGCAGGCTGCACTTAAGCTGATAATCATCTCAAAGCAGCAGTTTTAAATGCTAGGGAATTTGGCAGAAGCGTTCAGCTCCTCACCTTCCTACAGAGAAAAACCAGAAAACTGATTCACCAAGCACACTTAAATTAAAAGTTTACAACTCACTTGTCCTTTTTTTCCAAACCAATATCACAGCATAATAAGTTTACAACTCACTTGTCCTTCGTATTCCAACCAATATCACAGCGTAATAAATGCCAAAACAGTCCAATGATTCCTTCTTTATAAAAAAGTGGTTGCTAAAATATTTGCAGAATTATCCTTACTGTTGTTTACTACTTCTTGCTTCTGAAACTGCTCCAAGAGTTGCTGTGCCCTTCTTTCAGGATCTGAGCCTGGCATGATCCTGGCCAGATAATCCAGAAGTTTCTGCAAGCAAAGGAAATGGGGTGGTTCTTGGAAATCTTCCGAGCATTGGTCTAACCAGGCTCTGAGTATCGAGGCGATGGCACTGCAAAACAGAAATGCATCGTATATCATCAGCTACGTTGGTATCATTATATTCCGTGCCAGGCAACAAAACCTAAAACCCCCAAATAGGTTAAAATCAACGGTGCTATAATTCTGTCATAAATCTAAAAAGTAACTGCAGTATATGCTGGGTTCAACCAGGATCTCCATGGCCTTGTTGAAATCTGTATCAATCAGTTGGGTTTGGTCAAAGGCTTGAGACCAGTGGTGGGTTTCAAAATTTGTTAGAACCTCTTCTGTAGGTGTGACATGTGGGAGAGCANTCTGCATGCCTCATTTTTTGTGAAAAACAGGGCATGCAGAGAGTTTGAGAGACCGGCAAAGGGCTCCTGGGGGCTTGGGAGGGGGGAAATGAACAAAAAAAGGCCCTTTTTTTGCAAAAATGGGCCTATTCTTTGCCAAAAAAAAAGGGCATGCCTTTAGAAGGTTTGTAGAGTGCTCCTGGGTACTGGGGAGGGGGCAAAAACAACCCAAAAACCGCCCCATTTTTCACTCGTTTTTGCCCTCCGCAGCCCCCAGGAGAACTTTGCAGGCCTCACAAACCCTCTGCACATCCATTTTTGTGAATGGGGCGGGGTTTCAGGAGGCCAAAAACGTGGTATTCAGTGTATAAGATGCACCCAGATTTTCACCCTCTTTTTTTGGGGGGGAAAGGTGCGTCTTATACTCCGAAAAATACGGTAAGCTATCAAATTGTGCACGTGAAAGTCCTTGATGGTCCAGCTCAAAGGATGAACACAGATCCAATCGTAGGCCAAACGTAACAATAACGATACCTTCTGCTGTCAGTGGGATTCTTATATAGCAGTGATGGAGAACCTTTTAGGCACAGAGTACCCAAACCGGAAGGCATGTGCGCATGTGCCAGAGTGCCACAAACCAACAACCAGCTGGCTGAGCTGGAGTGACGACGCACATGCCCAGAGAGAGGTTAGATAGGAGTCCCTAATTGTATACAGGAAGTTAAAATTAAATTGTTAAATGTTGCATTGTTTCTTCAGGCCCTCATCCCAAAACTGATTCGAGGGTTTTGTAGGGGGAGCTCAAACCTCTCCCAGAGACACAATTTAGCTCTTGCTGACAGGTGTAACTAGCTAAGAAAGGGAATAGATGCTTAATTCACTTGAGTCAGCTTTTCAGAAGATGCAGACCATTAAATAAATAGGAATTACGAGACTCCACCAAATAATGAAATGATCAGGCTGTCAAAGAACTAATACCAATGTCGTCCTTGCAGACAAAGCCTTCTTCATTTTTAAACGTGATTCCCCTGATGTTTATTTCCAAAACAATAAGAGATCAACGTCTCACGTAGTAGCAAAGAATTAAGCGTATACTTTATAAAACTGCACATTCTCTGTATTTAAAGCTGTTTTTCTTTCAGTACATTTGTCTGTGTGTGTGTTTCCTGACATGAAGGGAAATGACATTCAGCACACCGTTTGAAAAACTCACAGGGAATGCACATTCAAGAGGAGACAAGCTCCAGAAGATAAATTCTCAATGCATGTCATCGGATGTAAAAGCATAAACAAGTTAATTACAGTGCAACCAATGGTTGTGTTTGCCTGTTATTTTTTTAAAAACAGCAGCCAAGCTATTGGGTAAATCAAATCTACAGCTCAGGTGCCGTAACTTGTTTCTTTTTTAGGTACAACAAAAGTGATTGATGTGCAGCCAAATCTACTCATTCAAAAAGAAGGGACTCAGGGACTGTTGAGAACATGCCTTCGGGCTTTTAGACAACAAGGGTTTTTTTAATGAACCATTTCCCAGGGGCAGACAAGATTAGAATAGTTTCTCAAACTTGGATAATGATCACTTTATTCTTTCCCCAGACACAACCGGCAATGTATATTCCTCCGTCTGTCCCATGGTCTTTCGAGAAATAACATGGATCGTGTCCTATCGTATAGTGTTACTGTGAGAATAAAATGGCATCAGTCCTCAAAGAGCAATGAAATAGGCCAAGATAATGATAGTAATGTATATAATGTGGAGTTGATATGATAAATAATAATTGGATATGAGAAGGGAAAGAAT